AAAAAGCCCACGGCCTTAAATTTTTAAAAATATGGTTATGATTTGTTTAATTGTCTCTTAAAATATGTTCTGGATCCAGGAGAGATGGAGTAGGTGTCACTGATTTATTTATAGAAGATTCCACTCACATCAACAGAACAGAATACACATTCTTTTCAAGTGCACGTGAAACGTTCATCATAATGGCCCATACCCTGGATCATAAAACAAACCTTTACAAAGGTAAGAGGGCCCAAATACACAGTTTGTTATCATAATAGAATCAAACTACAAATCAATAACAGGTAGCAGGACACCCCCAAACTAAAACAAGAACAAAAAACACAGCTGAACATCCAAAGGCTCAAATAAGTCTCAAGGAACATTAGAGTTTTTCTTTCTCAATGAAATGAAAATAAAATACGAACTTTCAATGTGCAGGGTGTGACTGAAACATTGCTTAGAAGAATATTTAGGGCAATATAAACTTATACTAGAAAAGAAGAAAGGTCTCTAGTTTAAGAAATTAGAAAGATGCATGCTAAACACAAAATAATCAAGCTGACAAAAGGGAATAAAAATTACAGAAATCAATGGGACAAAATGAAAACATAAGAAGTCAATGAAACAGAAATCTAGTTCTTTGGAAAAATTAACAAAATGGCCAGATCTTTTTAAGACCAACCAACCAAAGAAAAGAGACACAAGCCGATCAATATGAAGGCAGATGCAGCAGACATTTAAAACTGTATTAAAAGAAGACTTAAAATCCTTTTATCGGAGGCTTTTACAGCTCTCATAACACTCCCCACATCAAGTGCATCACGGGTACTAGTGGATATGCTGCCATCATCATCTCCAAAACACTTTCTACTTGAGCGCTTGGTCCCAGCCCCTCAAGACTTTCAATGGACAAGTGAAAACATGTAACTTCAACAAGTCGGGTGAATTCTATCAATTCCTCCAAGCCTACAAAAACACCACAATCTAAGGTCAAATATGTTATTTGAACATTTCAGTAATTATTTAAAAATGGAATTGAAGTTAAATAGCATTTGGAAAAGAGATGTTGAGGCCCAGATGGTTTCACTGATATATTTTACTTAAAAAAAACAAAACAAAGAAAAAAACACTGTAAAGCATCCCATTCAATTCCATATGTTCTCTTCCAGAAAACGAAAGGGGGGAGCATTTTCCAACCCATTTTAGGAGGCAAACTACCCTGGCACCAAAATCAGGAGACCAGTACCAGGAGAGAAACCCAGAGACCAATGTTCCTCAGGGCCCTGGACACAGGCTCGCCCAGCAGAAGGCTAGCGCTTCAAACGCAGCAGGATGTGAAAGAGGAATACACCATGGCCGAGGGCTTATTCCAAGAAGGCAAGACTAGTTCAACATTTGAAACTAGATGAAACCCACCCCACTCAGGCTTTCCTAAAGTGGGCGATACTGCCCCCTGTGGGGCAGTTAGAATGATGGGTGGTTGGGGGTAGGGGAGTGGAGGGGGAAGTGGGAGGTTGCTACAAAAGCAGTTCCCTAAGCCTAACTTTATTCTGGATTATGAACTGTAGTACAAAGGTTTTTAATTGCCCTGGTGGGGGGGTGGCACTCAGAAATTTTTTTCTGAAAAGGGAGCAGGAGGTCAAATAAGCTTGGGGGCCTTTCTTTAGAGCAGTGGTTCTCAGCCTTTCTCATGCCGCGACCCTTTAATACAGCTCCTCATGTGGTGATGACCCCCCAACCGTAAAATCATTTTCGTTGCTACTGCATCACTGTCATTTTGCTACTGTTATGAACCAGGCAACCCCTCTGAAAGGGTCGTTTGACCCACAGGCTGAGAACCGCAGCTCTAGATCACAAATCTAAATGCAAAGCGTAACACCATGTGCTGCTGTGGTTGTGAGGTCCCATGGAGTTGGTTCTGATCCACAGCGACTCCCTGCACGGTCCTGCTCCATTCCTGTGCCCACCCTGCAGCCACTGTGCCCACCCAACTCATGGAGGGCCTTCCTCTGTTTCACTGCCCGCTCACTTTACCAAGCATGATGTCCTGCTCCAGGGACTGGCCTCTCCTGACAACATGACCGAAGTGTATTAAGATGAAGTCTTGTCATCCTTGCCTCTAAGGAGCACTCGGGCCGTATTCATTCCAACACAGATCAGTCTGTCCTTTCCGTTGTCTATGGTACTTCCGATTTTCTCCAGCACCTCAATTCAAACGTCTGGATTCTTTTTCAGTCCTCCTTATTCAATGTCCAACTTTCACATGCATATGAGACCATAGAAAATACCATGCCTTGGGTCAAGTGCCCCCTTAGTCCCCAAAGTAACATATTTGCTTTCCGATGCTCTAAAGAGGCCTGTGCGGCAGATTTACCTAATGCAACTTGTCTTTTGATCGCTTGGCTGTTGCTTCCATGAATCCTGATTGTAGAGAAAAGCAAGACACAATCCCTGACAATTTCAACCTTTTCTCTATTTGCCATGACGTGCCCTATTCATCCAGCGAGGGTTTCAGGCTTGGTTATGCTGAGTGCAATTCACACTGAAGTCTTCACTATTTCGTCTTCATCAGCAAGTGCTTCAAGTTCTCGCCTTCAGCAAGCCAGCTCCTGTCAAGCCTTCCTCCAGCCTTGATGCCACATTCTTCAAACGAGGCAGCTTCTCTGATGGTTTGCTCAGCGTACAGATTGAACATGTTTCGGGAGAGGGTTGGTTTTGAAAGGGTGCGAGGGCAAAAGGGTGGCCCGAGGGAGCTTTTTTGAGGTAATCAAACTGCTGTATCCTGTATGTGGTCATCAATGCCCCAGTGTAGACACGGGTTAGAACTCATGGATCTATACACCCAACAAGGCCACCTCATTGTTGTCGTTACTGTGAAATAATTTAAAGCAAAATACAAACAACAAAAAGGAAAAAAACAAACAAGCAAAGGGTCATCCATGTGAGCCCACGACTGGTACCTCTCAATCACTGGGGTACCTCCCTTCAAACAGCCCCCCCCCAAATATTTCTTCCCATGCTACACTTCCACTGACTTACTATACAATATTTACCTCTATAATATTTAATACGTGCGGCAATTTTAAAATAATGGAAAGAATGCCGATGGACAGGGAAGAAGTCTCCACAAGGACATCCCCCTCTCAGGGGGTTGGCGATAGGAATATTTTCTCCTCCGTGTGCTTTGGAATGCTAAAAATCATGGCCAGAGCAGTGTCCCTGCGAGTTAGGAGCGGGAGATGGTACAGAGGCAGACGTGGAACCGAGGCTGAAGAACGGTAAGTGAGAAGCCCTGTTTAGGAGGGTCTACTAGGATTAGAATCTACGTCGCCAAATTCCCAGGCTTTTATTCCTTTCAAGACAGACTGTGCTCATGTTGCAATATGTCTCAAGATTGTCAAGATTGTCCCGACCTTTGCTCTAATGACTCACTTTCTGGGAATCTAAGGACAAAATATGCAACGCGGGCACATCTTTATGCAGAAGGTGTTTAATGCAGCGCTGTTATTTAGAATAAACTCACATCTAGAAGCCTAGGGTCCTGGGCAATAGGAAGGGATCATGTATCCTGTGGATTAGTAACCATTTTAGTGGCAGCAAAACCATAAGGAAAGCTGCTAGATACAATGTTAGCAGAAAAGAACAGGATGTAGCACTTTGTCTATAAAATGATCCTGTGTTCCTCAAAGGTAACTGACTCTGGAGAAGGGCGGGGCCAGCAGGAAAAGCTGGCATGGCATTCCAGAGGGCAACCTCAGTAGACTTGAAGAGACACACTTTTGCCACACCAATTTCACTGGACATTATTCTAAAAATGAATCATGCACATGGCAAAGATTTAACCATATAGGTTTCACTGTAAAAATATCGTTGCTATGATCACCAAAAGGGGCCCTGGTGGCACTGGGTGTTAGGCAATGAGCTGCAACTATAACGTCGAAGGTCAAACCTACAGCCACTCCACCAGAGACAGATGAGGCTGTCTGCGCCCATAAGACTGACAGTCTCTGAGGTCGCCACGAGTCAGAATTAACTTGATGGCAGTGGCGTTTGGGATTATAAGCAGTGCCAAAAGGTTTGAAATGAACTTAAATTCTGCCCCACAGTGCTCAGACAAACCACGGTACCTACAATATAATAATCATGCAAACTTCAGTTAACAGAAGAGCTTAATGACAAGGTGTTAATGCAACTCACAGAGACAAAACCCAATACGCCTCCTTTCTGGAATGTGAATGTATAGACAAATATTATATACACTCCTCTATATGAAGAAGAAACATAAGCGCTCTAAGAAATCGAGGAAGCCCTTCAATGGTGCAGATTGACACAAAAGCTGCAGCGGACCCCCAAGTAGTAACAATTGTGAAGTGGTGCAGGACAGGCGGGCTTTGCTTTGTGTCGCAAAGTCACCCTGAGCGGAGTCCGTTCCCAGCAGCAGCGCCATCGCCACCACAAGGATAGCACAGGGTGGCAGTGGCTGTCTCTGAGAACGAAGACCCCGGAGTGTCATTTTCTCAGGAACACAGGAACAAGTGCTAGTGAGCAGTCGCTCCATGCCAGGTGTTGTCTACACACTCAGTCATTAAATCAGTTCCTTCTCATAAGGACTCTTTGAGGGAGGCTACATCACTTTTCCAGGGGACACACAAGTTAGTAAGTGGTAGAAGCTCAGATTCAAACCCAAGGATCAAGGCTCCAGAGTCTGATATAAAAAGCTTTTTTTTCAATATGTAGATTTAAAATTTCATATAGTTATCACATTTGATGGTATCCAAAGAAACCAAGTTATTTTAAAAACTCTGGTCCAAACCATACATGTTCAAGGGTGTCATTATTGTGGGGAAAATGATGGATATTGAGAGGTTCTACTATTTGTCTGGATTTTAAGACAGTACTTTCCAGGATCATCTACAGGCTGTTATTATTATTGGTCTAGGTGTTTCAAATTTGCTTTAAGGAATATACAGTGTCTTCAAAATTCAGAGAAAAACAAACTCATTTCAAATATGGCAAAACAAAGCAAATGTGGCAAAACCAGACCTGTGGGGTCCTGCTCCGAAGGGAAAAAACTTCTCACCTTCCTAACATCAAAGACCAGAGCAGAAGAGCAGGTTCAGTGAGCACCCCCACCCCCCTCCTTTTCCACGCCCACCCACAGCCCACCCAGTGGAGCAGCTCCTTCTTACCTCGAAGGGCCTCATCATGCTCTCCCTGCAGGACCAGTCGCTGCTCAGCCAGTTTCTCTCGGAGCTCCAGCCCCCGTTCCCGCTCCACCTGGGGATCGTTGCAGGGCGACATCACTTAGCTGCTCACCAAACCCAGAGCTCGGTGATCGGAGCTCGCTCCCCTCATCGGAGGGGTGGGAGGCGACTCAGGTACCAGACTCCCCAATCCCACGGCAGCCTGGAGAACGTTGCCGTCTGCAGGGCTTCAGAGGGTCCCTCGAGGTCCTGTGGTGCTTCCTCCTCTTGTTCCAAGGCGGGTGTCTCGGCTTGTGCATAATGAACGGAAGCTCCTTAACTCGCAAGGCTGCTCTTTCTAACCAGGCACCGGGCTTTCTGGGATTCTCTAAGCTCCATTATGGGGTTCTGTTGCTGGCCTCTGGAGCCCCACAGAACCAGTCTCTCCCTCAACCCGGGTGGCCCGCAGAGATCTGAGCATAGTGGCTATGTCCGCAAAGTGATACCTCTCCCGGCTGAACATACCCAGATATATTCATGGCCTCCCACTTGAGATGTTTTCTACCTTATTACTTGCGAGAATTCGGCTTACAGGCACACCCAAATGCCAGGTACAATTTCAAGAGGGTTCTAGCCCCAGTGGCTGCAACAATGGGCTCAAACAAAACAATGATGAGGATATCCCAGGATTGGGCACCTAACAATGACAACATCAACAACGACAACAACAACAGTTCCAGTTTGCCACTGACCACCAGCCCCAGCTCTGCCCCAACCACCCCCCCCACAAGCAAACTAAACCCAATGCCACTGAGATGATGATAGCAAGTCTCTGGGACACAGTAGGTGTCCCAGCGGCATAGGGGTCTAGGCAATGAGCTGCTAACCACAGGGTCTGTGGTTCAGACCCACTCATGGCTCCTCAGCAGAAAGATGAGGCTGCCCACGGCTACAAAGAGTTAAAAATCTCAGAAACGCACAGGGTCAATTCTACTCAATCCTAGAGGCTCACCCTGAGTCAACCCTATGGCAGTGGGTTTTTTTTTTTTGTTTTGTTTTTTTAATAGGTTAGGGTAGACCCGCTCCCCACAAGGTTTTCAAGGCTACAAATCTTTTTGGAAGCAGGCTGCCACAAATGTCTCTCACAGAGCATCTGGTGGGTTTGAACCATTGACCTTTCTATTAGCAGCCGAATCCTTTAACCATGGCACAACGTGGCTTCTACACCAAAGGCTTCTGTGCCCCTTTCCTGCAGTGACGCTGAGTGTCCTGTGTCAACCTGGGAGAGGCTATTGTTGCCCAGGTACCTGCCTAACCACCAGTCAAGTTGCTGTGATTAAATCAGTTGGCTTGCAGTAAAGCAGATTACCTTCCATAATGTAATGTACTGTGATGTGCTGCAATGCAATATAATTACCTTGCAAATCGATCAATTACTCCATTGAAAATCTGAAGAGTGAAAAGTGTCCCTAGGTCGTATCCTATCTTGCCTCACTTTTCTTCCCTGCAGCTGGCTCTGTGTGTGAACTCGCTGAGGGTCGGCAGACTTTCGAGCAAAGCCAACCAGCCACTTTGTTAGGAAGGCCTCCCCAGGGTCCGGGGCCAGCACACAGACATTTGGTCCAGAGTGAGGCTGGTTTTGCCTCTCAGCGCTCATTGGCCAGGACCAGTTCCCTGACCCCACTCGACCCCGGTCACCAGGGGTGCAACCCAGGGCCACCTGGGACTTTGACAATTCCCCCAACAGACCGCCGGCTTTGTGAGAGCAGCTGCCAGTGCTGTTGGCTCAAACCACGGCACCTGGCACAGGCTGGCTTAATACAAATACCTGCTCAGCTCTGACGATTTGCACTCAACGGCTGACCTGCAAGATGGTGGCTTGAGCCTACCCATCGGCGTGGTGAGAGGCCCTGGTGGCATGGTGGTGACGTGTTGGACTGCTAACCACAAGCTCTGCAGTTCAAAACCTCCAGCTGCTCTGCGGGGAGAAAGTGGTCCTTCTACTCCCAGGAAAAGTTACGGTCTCAGACACCAGGGGCCGTTGATCCCTGTCCTGTAGGGTTGCTATGAGTCGGAATTGACTCAACAGCAGTGCGTTTGGGCGAAAGAAAGGCCTGGTGACCTGCTTCCCTAAAGATAACGGCCGGCCGAGAGAAACCCCCAGAGCTGTTCTGCTCTCTATGCGTGGGATCGTCAGGGGCCAGAATCAAACGATGGCAGTGGGTTGGGATTTCTGTGGTTTCTTGGCAGCTGGAAGGAAGACAGGCCTGCCACAAGATCAAGCCAAGCAAGGCCCCCCGCCTGGGGGCTATCCAGGTGAGCTGACTGTGGAGAGAGGGGTGGGGGCCACCCGGACTCACCTGTTGTGCCCACTGCGTCTTTTCCTCTTCATGTTGCTGGAGAATCTGGGTTATAGTTTTCTGGTGCTGCTCCGTCTCCTCACATACACAGAGCTGGACAGGGGTGGCTGTAGATGAGAAAACAAAAAACATATCAGGCAGGGTCGTGGTGCAGCCGTGGCCCTGCCGAGAGGCTGTGGGGTCAAGGAGGAGGGGTGAGGACATTGGCCTCCACCGCAAGAAGGGTTTCAGGGAGGAACCGGCTTCCAGAGGTAGCACCCTGAATCTCCGTGGCCAGTGGCCTCACACTGCAGAGCAGCGAGCTCATGGGACGGGACGGGACGGGACAGCTTCAGCCCAGAGAGGTCTTTGATTTGCTCCACCCAACAATTAATTTAAACAAACCAGTTGCTGAGAGTTAATTAGCAGGAACGCTTTGCAACAGTTACATAGATTTCCACCTGTTCTGGAAGACGCCAGCCAACTGACCACCTGGGTCATTGTGCTTTTAAGTCCCACAGGAGCCGGAGCTCAGGAGCAGCTGCGTGCTTTGGCCAGGGCACGGCCCTGCTCGCTTCCGCAGCCCGCGTCTGCCCACATGGAAGGGGTCACCTCATCATCGGCTTTGCCAGCTGGGCCCTGTGAGCACCTGTGTGAGTTCCTGACTTGTAACCCCTCCCTCCCCCACGTGGACATGGAGGGACTGCTTGTGAGCAGGAAGGAGAGTCGGTGTGACCCATCCTCTCTGTGTCCAGGTTACATCATTTGTGAGATCAGGAGAGTGAAGGTACCTGCCTCGTTGAGAGGGTTCAACCTGCAAACAATGGTGATCATACGATAAAAACAGCGCAAAAGACCTTACCACCCAGGTGCTAGGCTCCTGATCTTCACAAGCACGCACTGCGGTGAAGCCTATTATCATCACCGGTTCACGGAGATGAGACCGGGGCACGGAGAAGTTAGACAACTTGCCCAAGGTCCCCAGCTTCACAACGGACTATGAACCCACAAGAGCTGATTCCTTGACCAACACTTCTCGTGACCGCCTGGTTCTGCTGCTCGGTGCACAAAAGTCAGTAAGGGGAGGGCAAGGCACTCACGCAGCGTTCGCGGTGTTCTCGGCGCTGCTCCACAAATGGTAGTGCCTGGTGCTCAGGACAAGTGTCAGAAGCTAATCTGGTATTACTAGATCATTACAAAACTCCATAGGTGATCTCTGGCAAAGGGTATGGCTAGAAATGTGAGGCCCCTATTGTCAGGCCGGTTGCAATTCCATCAGGATACAACAGGGAGTAGCCTGGTGGCCCTGGACACTGGGCTCCCAATGACTGTGCATTGACAGACACATGTTAGACATCATCACAGTCAAGATCAGAGCTCTTCAGACTCACACAAAATCATTTAGCTCAGAGTCCCAAACACAGGCCCCTGAGAGCAGCAGTGGGTTGGCACCAACAGGAGAGAAGCTTACTAAAAACACATGCTACCTGGGAACAATTAGTTCGGTGGACTCATGGATCCTGTAAACACCGCCTCCATGCTCCTGAGACCAGAAGCACTAGCTGGTGCCCAGCTACCACTATCAGCTACTCTGAAAGGGATTGTGTTAGAAGGTCCCGGATAGAGTGGAGGAAAACGTGGAACAAAATTCAAAAATCCTAAAAAGGTCAGGCAATCCTATGGCCCCAGAATCTGAGTCTTTGAAAATGCCCCTGGTCACTATGATACGCAGGCAGGCAGGAGACCCTCTGAATTCCGGTGCCCTTGCTCACCTGGGGCTTGCTCTTCATATACAATACCCCCAATAGCTAGCTGGTGTCATCTCGGCTGTGCATACCCACCTCGGGAATGGGGACCTTATTCTAGTATTTGGGAGCTCTCTCTCACTGCCGCCCAGTCAAATTGCCGACTCATAACGACACTATGGGGTAGGCTAGAACTGCCCCTGTGAGTTTCTGAGCCTGTAACTATTTACGGGAGTAGCAAGTCCCATCTTTCTTCCACAGAGCAGCTGGTGGTCTTGAACTGCTGATCTTGAGCATCGTAGCTCAACATGTAACCAGGGCTCCCGAGTATGAGGACGCATTGGTGATTTTCCCACAACGGCCAGATGAGACATCCTGTGAAACTGAGCTGGATTCAGCCTGCTCACTCCTGCTACCTTAAGGCCCCGGTCCTGCTTTCTGTCACACCAAATGAGTCCTTCAGACCTTTGGAGAGAGTGGTCATGTTTGCTTAGGACATCTTTCTTTCTTTTTTTTTCTTCTTTTTTCTCCTTTTTTTTTTCCCCCAGGAACTTCCCAGGGGTTGAACCACTCCCAGTTACTAAGTCTAGGACATCTTTCTAGGTGGACCTTTCTCGGCTCCTTCAGCTGCTCCTGGCAGGACCTGGTTTTAGATCCCTCATCAGCTCGGACTTTCAAGCACTGTGCACCTTACAGTGGTCCTTCTGAAAATGTGCTTTCCAGAAACAAGCTCCGCACTATAGGTGTGGCATCAGCATGCCAGAACAGAAAAGCATAATTTAGGAGGGTCACATCCTTAACTTTAGATATGATGCGCCTATTAATATAACCTACTTAAGATCTCCTGGGACATACACCTAGCTCTGTCACCTTTGCTGACTGTAAGTAAGAAACTTCATGGGTGTCAGCAGGGGCACTATGAGGGTGGCCACTCACCTGTGTCATCATTGAGGGGGTCTAGTTCCTGGGGCACTGGTCTGTGTGGCTGTTCTGGTTCTTGGTGCCTCTGAAAGAAGGGAGACACAGCTGAGGTGAGGGTAAAGGGTGGAAGGTCAATGTGAGCACAGATGCCAAGGCAGGACTCTTCTATAGATGAGGCAGGATTTTCCGTGCCAGGCAGGGCTCCCACTGTCTGGACCCGGATTCCCAGAGCAGGGTTTCTTATTGTTGCCGAGTGGACTCTCAGCGAGAAACTTGATGCTAGTCAGTCTTCCATTGAGCCTGGTGAACATGAATGTGTGGCTTGTGATCAGGTTCTCAACTGAAGGCTGGCAGCTCTGCCCAGTGTCTGCGGGGGTGGAGGGCGGGGGTGGGGGGCAGAAAGATGGGGTGAATGGCTCTGCTAAAGGTTTCATCCAAGAAAACACACAGGTCACCCTGAGTTGAAATCCAATAGGGTTTTTGCTCTGTTTTCTCTTTTTGTCAATCCCTGAAGTTTGGCTTCTTCGATCCACGAACCCACCTCTCCTTCTCCCAGGGCTTAGTCAGACCTTTTCCTGGCACCTTATTCCAGCTGTGGCCTGAAGCATCCTAAAACCTCCAAAGCCCCGATCCAGAGATGAGCCCCCTTCCCAATTAGGGCCTGTGGCCCCCACACCTTCTAGCCAAATTCCCTCAAATGGAAGGGGCTGGAGTATCAGAAGGTCCAGCTGTGGTTTAGGCCTGGCTGCACTCTGTTGGAAGGGACGGCTTCCCATCTGTGCAGTGGAGACCATCACCCCAACCTTACCAGATGGGCCAAGGGGTGTGACAGGTACTCAAGAAGTACCAGGTGCGATGCTGTCTCACCTACATCATCTAACCTTCAGAATAACTCTGCGACCTATGTTGCTCTGAGGTGCCATCGAGTCAGTTCTGATTTATGGTGACCCTGTGTATGACAGAAGGAAACACTGCCCGGTCCTGCACCTCCTCACAGCCGTCCCCGTGGCTGAGCCCACGGTGGCAGCCTCTGTGTCAGTCCTCTCGTTGAGGGACTTTCTCTTCCCCACTGCCCCTCTTCGTTACTAAGCATGCTCTCTTTCTCCAGGGACTGACAACATGTCCAAAGTGAAATATGAGCATCCCAAGCTGGAAGACGAAGAGACTGGGGGTGAGCGAGGTTAATCAGCTGAGGAAATAACTGGAAGTATTTGCATCACATCGAGAGGGACCCAGCACTTGGCCAATCTTGGTTGAATCGGTACAAAGGAAATCACGGGTCAATAGCAGTGTTGGTGTCTCCAAAATTCCCAGTTTCCATAAAAGAGTCATTTCCCCCCAATGGAGAGTTGATGTGGGCTTATGAAACAAAGACATAGGAACAATGGTCTACAGATGATCGCTATTATTTCAAAAGAGAAAGCTTTCAAAATGCAGTAAGGAAAAGTTCAGGACTAGATCGTGATGATTGCTGTTATTTTGAAAGAGGAACCTTTCAAAACTCAGGAAAAGTTCAAGACTGGATCGCCCAGGGAAGGGCAATTGGCGACCTTACTCAAGAT